CGGTGAAGGCGCCGGCCGCCGGCGTCTCGGCGCCGGCGTCGAAGTTGACCACCGAGCGGGCGAAGCCGCCGGTCACCGGGTAGCCGCCCGACAGGGAGGAGGCGATGTTGGAGGCGCCCAGGCCGACCAGCTCCTGGTCCGGGTCGATGCGCTGGCGCCGCTTGGCCGCCAGGGTCTGGGCCACCGAGACGGACTCGACGAAGCCGACGACGGAGATCAGCACCGCCGGCACGACCAGCGCGCGCCAGAGCTCCAGGTCGAACAGCGGCACGGCGAAGGGCGGCAGCCCCTGCGGCACCTCGCCGACGATGGCGACGCCGGCCTCCTGCAGGCCCAGGCCGGCGGTCACCGCGATGGTCGCGGCCACCGCGATCACCGGCCCGGCCTTGGCGATCACGTCGGCCAGGCGGCGGTTGAGGCCGAGGCCGAGCAACAGCGGCTTGAGCGACCTGCGCACCCAGAAGAGGAAGGCCAGCGCGCCGCCGCCGATCAGCAGCGTCGGCAGGTTGGTCTGCGCCAGCCCCTCGGCCAGGCTGACCACCAGGTCGAAGAGGTTATGCCCCTGCGCGGGAATGCCGAGGATGTGCTTGAGCTGGCTGGCGGCGATGATCAGGCCCGAGGCGGTGATGAAGCCGGAGATCACCGGGTGGCTCAGGAAGTTCGCGAGAAAGCCGAGGCGGAACAGCCCCATGAGGATCAGGAAGAGGCCCGAGAGCAGGGCCAGCACGATGGCCGCGCTGAGGTAGTCGGCCGTGCCCTGGGCGGCGACCTGGCCGACCGCGGCGGCGGTCATCAGCGAGACCACCGCCACCGGCCCGACCGCCAGGGCCCGGCTGGTGCCGAAGACGGCGTAGGCCACCAGCGGCAGGATCGAGGCGTAGAGCCCCACCTCCGGCGGCAGCCCGGCCAGCAGCGCGTAGGCCAGCGACTGCGGGATCAGCATGATGGTGACGATGACCGCCGCCACCAGGTCGTTGACCGCCGACTCGCGGCCGTAGCTGCGCCCCCACTGGAGGATCGGCAGCCAGCGCTCGATCCGTGACACGAAAGACCCCTTGTTCACTGCCCCGCCCTAACTCCTGCTCTTGCCGTCCGGCCTTCGTCCTACTGCACCCGCGCTTCCGGCAGGCGCTCGGGTTTGACCATCCACTCGCGCCCCTTGAGCATGCCCTGCCAGTAGACCGGCGGCAAAATCCGCTCCTTGAGCAGCCAGGCCAGGCGGCTGGGCCGGGTGCCGTCGATCAGCCAGGAGGGGAAGCTGGGCAGCAGCTTGCCGCCGTAGCCGAACTCGGCCAGGACGATCTTGCCCCGCTCCACCGTCAGCGGGCAGGAGCCGTAGCCGTCGTAGTGCGCCTGGTAGCGGCTGTGGCCCATGTCGTAGAGCAGGTTCTGAGCCACCACCGGCGCCTGCTTGCGCGCCGCCGCCGCGGTCTTGGCGTTGGGCGCGTTCATCACGTCGCCCAGGCTGTAGACGTTGTCGAAGCTCTTGTGGCGCAGCGTCGACTGGTCGACGTCGACCCAGCCGGCGGCGTCGGCCAGCGGGCTGACGCGGATGAAGTCCGGCGCGGTCTGCGGCGGGCAGACGTGGATCATGTCGAAGCTGCGCTCGACCGTCTCGGTCTCGCCGTCCGCGTCGCTGCGGGTGAACCAGGCCTTGCGCGCCGGGCCGTCGATGGCGCTCAGGCTGTGCTTGAACTGCAGGTCGATGCCGTAGCGCTCGACGTAGGTCATCAGCGGCGGCACGTACTCCTTGACGCCGAACAGCACGGCGCCGGCGTTGTAGAAGCCGATGTCGATGTCGCTCAGGCGGCCCTGGCGCTGCCAGTGGTCGGCCGAGAGGTACATGGCCTTCTGCGGCGCGCCGGCGCACTTGATCGGCATCGGCGGCTGGGTGAAGAGCGCGGTGCCCGAGGTCAAGCCGCGGACCAGCTCCCAGGTGTAGGGCGCCAGGTCGAAGCGGTAGTTCGAAGTGACGCCGTTCTTGCCCAGCGTCTGGACCAGACCGGGAATGGCGTCCCAGTCCAGCTTCAGCCCGGGGCAGACCACCAGGCGGTCGTACTTGACCACCCGGCAGCCGTCGAGCACCACGGCGTTCTCCTTCGGCTCGAAGGCCGCCACCGCCGCCTTCAGCCAGTGCACCCCCTTGGGGACGACCGAGGCCATGGTGCGCACCGTCTCGCCCGGGTCGAACACACCGCCGCCCACCAGGGTCCAACCCGGCTGGTAGTAGTGGATGTCGGCCGGATCGATAATCGCCACAGACAGGTCGTGCTTGCGCTGAAGCAGGCTGGAGGCGACGGAGATGCCGGCCGCCCCGCCGCCCACGATCACTACGTCGTAACTGGCGTCGGCCCGGTCCACCGGCGTCTTGCCGGCGTTGGCGATGCGCCGTACCACGCCCGACATGTCGTAGCCGGCCGCCTTGGCCCGCTGCAGGATGTCGGTCAGCTCCAGCCTGTCCGCCTGGGACAGCGACCAGAGGGTGACCGAGCGGGTGCCGCTGCGGCAGTAGGCGAAGACCGGCCCCGGCAGCTCGTCCAGCGCCCGGCCGAAGGCCTCGGCGTCCGCGTCCGTCACCTTACCGCTGGTCACCGGCAGGTAGCGGGCCTCCAGGCCGGCCTTCTTCGCCTCGGCGGCGATCTCCTCGAAGGTCGGCTGGTCCGCCCCCTCGCCGTCGGGGCGGTTGCAGATAATGGCGCGATAGCCCTCTTCGGCCAGCGACGCGATGTCGGACGGGGCGATCTGGCCGGACACGGCCAGGCGCGACGAGACGATCTTCGGCTCCATGGACGGGCTCTCCTCCGCGGCGGGGCTGGTTGCCTGCTCGGTCTTTCTTCGCGAGACCCTTACAGGGCGTCGACCGGGATCTTCAGGTAGCGGATCCCGTTGTCCTCGGCCGGCGGGAAGGCGCCGGCGCGCATGTTGACCTGGA